TCAGCCGATTTTGACAAACTTGAGCTAGTTGAAAAGAGGTATTCTTGGGATACAATGCTATAATATTTGAAGTTTTGTTAGTTGCACATGTCGCCGGCTAAAGGCTTGAAAATATTCTCCAGGTTTTTCTCTTGGACGTTTTAGTAATACAATTTTTCGCCCCAAGTCCCCACAATGGATAGTTTCCCAGATACAGTACCTCTAACTCCTCTTTTCTTCGGAATTGAAATTAGGAAAGACCGAGTTGAATATTTCTAAAGTGTTAGCTCACATGACATTTTCATCGCATTTGGTAATATTTCCTCTGCAAGAAACATGACAAACATCAGACATAACAGAATGTTATCTCTTCGAATCAGATTTATATGGAAACATCAAATAAATGTCAAATTCGCCATTCTCAGTCGTTCACTATATCATTTCTCATCAGACATAAAGGCTTTATAGGGTTTCAGTATCCAGAATCTCCAGAGATGACCCTAACTTTATTGCATTTTTCTCCATTTATCCTTTGACATATAGCTATGGACATCGAGCATCAACTTTCAGACATGGGCAATGGGTATTGTAACTTGTTGCTTTCAGTCTTTTCATCCATTAGAATTCTCTTATATTGTGAATGCCTTATTATTATGTAATTCAGAGACCACATAACAATCGAAAACCTTCATTTCATCTAAATTTGTCGAAACCGTGCCGTCATTGAAAAACACTACACAGCCAAGGTAATCAATCGGTCGGTAACCAGAATTGAATACTACCAGAATGGGTAATTTTGCTATATTGAGGTTCTCATCTCACTGTGAAGTTTGTAAAAAATTGATATATACGTTATATTTTCTATCTTTCGTAAGTTCCCCTTCAGAAAAAAACAAATAAAAGCGGAACTTGGCGCCTCCACCATTCCTACGACGTACATTCTGAAAATCCACATTCACACAGACTTGAAATACTATTCCCTGTACCAGTACGACGTTGCCGACATCATCAATATGTCCAGATAATACCAGCAATGAGATATAACATATAGGTTCTTCAATTCTACTTTGTCAAGCATTATGAATAATTCCCATAAATCTCTCATTGGCTCAATGAAGTTGATTACTGATAAAGATGAATTATGATATTTTGGGATAGTATCTATAATTTTTCGCTATCGTTATATTACAATATGTTATTCATATCTTGTCAGTCGCTTGTTTGCTAATGAATTCGTTCCTTAATGAAACAGATTCATTTTATAGGAAAGTTGCAGATTATATCTTGCAACATCGCCTAATACTTCGAGTCCTTCCACACCACTCAAAATACTGACAGGCACCACAAGAGGAAGGAGCCATGGGTGTCGGCTACATTCTGTTCTGACCGATGACAGTAAATTAGGAAGGATAGTATCATTGAATGTAGCCGATAGTGATTCATTGATTCAATGATATTTTCGTTTAGGATCGAGCTCTATTCGAGATATTCCAATACATCACAAATAACAAAACCATAACCTGTCAAAATGAGGCGAACTACCCTGTGTATTCCTGCTCCGCGAGTGCATTTCTGGTTATGTATGTTTTTGTTTACCAGTTTCACTTCTTCTTCTATTTTTTTCATTCGTCTTTTATTCGTAAGCTATTCGCTAGCTATATTCTTCACCATCAGCTATTTTCAGACTAGGCCTTTCTTTTCGACCCCTGCTGCACACGTCATGTGCACATAATATCTACTATTCCTAATTCTCCTTTTCGAACCTCCGTGGATTTCTGATGAAGGTCAGTATGTCCGTCCACCTTAGTGATTTGATCTTCTGAGACTGGCCCAGGTAGTGGTATCAGGATCAATGGATTCCTAGCCAATCGATTGTTGATTGCTACCCAATTGAAATGGCACAAAATCAGTATTTTAGGACATCAAAATATTATTCTGAAATTGAAACATCATAAAACAATTTCCGATTTCATACGCTGGTGGAGAGAAATTTCCACCAAAATACCCAATTTATCTGTATAAGAACACTGATGTGGAATTTTCAAAAAATCATTCACTTCTCCAGTAGCGAATTTTTTCTAGTTCAAGTCTCCACTCTGTACATATATGCCTGAAACAAATTTCCCTAACCGTAAATGAGTATGGATATATTTTATGGAGATGTCTGTGCATCTTCTACTGGATGGATCCACGAATGATTCAGATGATGAGAGAGTTTTCAAATACATCATTGAGTACTCATTTAATCATTTATGATAGTCATTCCAGAGTTGAATATTATGGTCTTCATGTGCTACAAACATGTAGGCATGCACTATTCAATTTCCAGAAACGTTCCATATACCTATACTTCTCTTTCCAGCCTTTACGGAATTCCCGTAATAAACATGAACTGGATGCAGCATATCTGGGTTAAGGCAGGTAATTCAGAATGCTGCTGCTTTCATATCCTGCTACAAATATCTCTCATGTAGTGTTGCCAATAAAGCGGCAGTAACAGCAGCGTATGCAGTTTAGCAATTAAATGTAATCGAGTTCAACTTGTTCGCGTTTCACATAATTCTGCTTGCATATGCAATTTAACGCGGATTTTTATCAGCCAAGGACTTTATTGGCACCGAGTCGAATGCATATGCAAACAGGTACATCCAGATAGAAGCGAAATTGGCTGGATTATACTAACTGGTGATGCTTATTTTTGGCTAGGTCTGATATCACTGATTGCGTAGAAAACTCGACATTGCATATTCGAAATCAGTTTCATTACTATAAATGATATATGATGATTATTGCAACGACGTATCACTTAAAACAGACCGATCGCACTGCTATCTATCATTCCAAAGATCATGGAGAGAGCTATCACCACCCAGCTCATGAAATACCTAGCTGGAACATTCAGGTATTATCAACGATAGGCAATATGGCTTCCGTCATCAGAGATCAACTGGTGACCTGCTCGCTTACGTCTCACATATATGGCAGCAATCTATTGAAAAATATGGTGAAACCTTAGCCGTGGCACTTGATATCTTCAAGGCATTCGATCGAGTCTGGCACAACGGACTCCTCGTCAAGCTTCCATCTTATGGCTTGCCTCCCTAGCTATGTTATCTGCTAGATAGTTTTCTATCAAACAGATCTCTCCATGTAGTGGTCGACAGAGTTTCATCTGACTACAACACTATTTCTACTCCATATCAACGATTTGTTGGGAGCAACTTCATACAGTACACATCTTCGCGGATGATCCTACCCGTAATACCGCCTTTTCTTCCAGGGCTCCAATACCAGTCAGGCAAATCAAAAACGAACGAGGAAGAAATGTTGACAACATAAATATGGATTTATAACTGAATACGAGAAGATTTATAGTGATAATAAATATCATTATCATCATTATCAAACCACTTGATTTCCATTGAGAATGCAATGAAAATATGTCAGTCGGTCATCACTGGGACAACAATGAATGAGCAATAAATGAAAGTACTGCTTCGACAATATTGGCGTTGAGTCGGCCAGTGGACAACTTTTGTGATTCATTGAACAAAGCCGATATCAAGCCGATGATAGTTGGGGAGACATTGCTCTAAAAGTGATGACCCATTTATTGAAGTTTGCTGGGAGTGGAGTTACTCAGAAATACATGTTCTAAAATGGAGCCTTGTATGTGATAGCTATCGCTTTATCGATGGTATAATAGAATTTCATAAAATAAAACTTTGATTCTAAAATATTCATTATGTGAGGTATTATCCTCAGAATCTGAAATTAGATTTCAATATTTTCCTCATTCGATACAGAATGAACATCATTGATAACTCTGAGGTGCCCAACAAAAGAATTAGTAGTTGAAAGTATATTTCTCGTATATTTCAGAAAATACCCAATCGCTGTTTGGTATAGTAATGAAAACATTTTGAACGTGTTGAGTTTCAATCACAATGGATTCAATTAAACATTAGGCAATCAGATGATTGAATCACAACTATATATTGCATACCTAGAATATTCAGGACATGGATTCACCTCAATTATCAGCAGAATGTATATGATATTTTGGTCAGTAAGGTTTTTTATGACTTGATGACCATAGGATAATGTCCTTGCAGTTGAAATAGGTGTAGGTAAATTCGAGTTATAATGTAGATTATAGATAACTAATCAAATGACCTAGAAAGTCATCATCTGATTGCCACATACTTTTCGAGAAATAAACAAAATTTGATTTGAAAGGTAATCATAAATAAAACGCCTAGTAGACATTTAGAATTCAGTTCATGACATTTATTTTTATATCGTTCCATTATAATAGACATCACTGTGTTTGCTTAAATATGCAGTTTCCTAATAAGACTAATCATCATATCTATTTACAATAAATAATAGGAAATATATTGAAATTTAATTTCAATTCTGGCTTGGTATAACATTACTTATTCGAATAATAATACTGAACAAAATATAAGTAGATCTAGTGTTGAACGCACAAGGTGACTGTCGTTTTTTAACAAAACAAAAAATCCGAACAGAACTCGACGAAAAATATCATTTCTTGACACTCAATTCATGCTTCACACAAAGAATACATGAAAAAGTTCATTTCAAATGAAAAAAAATGAATATTACCTTTCATCAATGAGAATTAAAATTCAAAAGGTGAATCATCATAAACGTGAAGACGAGTTAGATAAGGATTTTTCGTAACAAAAAATATCTCACTCTCTATATCCTAAACATTGCCAAATTTTCTAAATAATCTACCTATATGCACGACCCTGTTCATTGATAAATAAATTTGTGTTTTTCAGCTTGCAGTTTTTTCGTAGTGTATAACACTCATGTTGAATAAGCATTCGTGGCATACTCATTGCCATAACTACCATCAGCGCCGTTTCTCCACATACTATACAATTCTCAAAGATCCAAACTACTTTCATAGCTTATGATAGACCCCCTGAGGACTCAGTGTAAAGGTGTATATCTCATTCTTATCACCTGTCACCTCCAAACCATACCTTCACGATATCCGTAGCGGCGTAGTAGTTTTCCGATGGAATGACGCCATTTTGGGGAAGGACGCCATTTTGAACATCGTACCCAGGCGGTCGAGAAGATGGTGGTGGAGGTGGTGTCAAGTTGTAGAACGTTGGTGGGGTGTATTTCATGTCCTCCTGGAAGCTATTGACACTGGTGAAATCTGAAAATAGTAAGGACAAAGTTTTTTGAAACTGTAAGAGGCAGAAATTGGATAGAAGAAACATGTTTCAAATGTAAATGTAGGGAATTCTTGGAACACATCACGAATGGCCTACCCTTTCAACAATGATAGCAATATCTCAAGAGATGTTTCAGTGGTGTATTGAAAGGATATCCAATGAATTTTTTCAAGGCAATATTCACTAGACATCCCAGATAATATCGACAAGAGGTACCTAAGGAACATTTCAAAACGAGTACTTCGAATCTAGGGTGTCCTTTGCTTGGACATTCTATAAGATGTACCAGGTGGGACATTGAGATATGTACCTAAATATATATGTATAAGGACATCCATCCACTAGACATGGCAGAATAATTACGCACTATCTGTACAAGTCATTTCGACAAAAATTTATAAATGAACGAGAGAGGTGGATAACGAGAGAAAAACAACTACTTTCCTAGGTATATGCTAGTTAGAACTTTGGATCTATGGATCTATGGAATGATTCGTATAGACGAATAAAATCGCAAGTGTTTCCTTCCTAAATGCTGAATTGTGATTGAATTTTTCAGGAACGCCTGTCTACCTACAGACCGGTTTCGAGCTTTTGGCTCTCATCAGTGCTGGGGTGTCCCCAGATGGCTTCCAACGTGAATACATTCCAGCAATCGACACCCACGAGGTGTTCGGCATCTGCGAGATGGATCCGAAAGCCACCTTAGTAGAAGTAAAGAGTTACAGAATGTTTTTATTAATTGATTTTGAATTCAACATAGTGTGTAGAGCAGTGGATCTTATCCATTTAGTGATGAGGGACCATTTGTCATGCGATGGACCACTTACTGTTCTGAGGTGAATACATTGAATGAAAATTAAATCATCTATGAATAAAACATGCAACCATTTTTTTTGCAGAAATTCAACATTACAGAGACAGTATATATCTTGATGCCATTTTTATGATACTCCTCAATACTTGGTCCAGTGCTACTCAAAGTCTAGGGCATGTATAGGCACGAGCATCTAACCGATTTTGGTGCTTGTTTTTAATGGTTCGAAGCGCCTAGAACTCCTGCTCGCATGGATATGTCAACAAAAACAAAGTTAGGTATCGAATAGCAATTGCAAATGAAATTGCCTTCTGGCTCCAAAAAATTTCAAGGTCAACTCCAGCTTCAGATGTATCTGTCAAGTTACTATCGTGATCGTGTTGCATTTCAATCACTTCTTCTTCAATTCCATCAGAAACCTTCAGAAACATTGACAAAAAACGGATTGAGGAACAGTTTCCTAATACTTTTGTTCCGCCAGTCAGGAAAATAGCGATCGAATTCACTTTTTAAGTGTATCAAATGGTGTGTAATTTTGTTTCGTATTTCTCCTTTTTGATATCAGCACATTGTCCGTCAATAATTTGATTCAGATCATCAAACACAGAAAAGTTTGTCTGGTCAACTTTCATGATTCATAGTTAGATTTTGGCGATAGATGCAGCAATTTTATCTTCATACGCAAATATACTGTTCTTGCCTTGCAACTTCAAATTTCCTGAACCTTGCAGTTGAACATTGAATTTATTCAGTTGTGCGAAAAAATCAACCAAATAAGAAAATGATAGTTCGAATTGGGAAGCACAGAACTGATTCAGCAACTTTGTTGTCAGTTAAGAATGTTTGTACTTTTTTCATCCCGCCAACGACTCCGTCCGTTTGTTACCAATGTCCCTTATTCAATATTTGTCCGATGGCTTCGCGGATCCATTTGGGTGCTTTCAGGGACCACTGGTTTAGAGTTATCGAGAACCAAACAGATTGTTACAATAGCTTCAATCTCTTGTTGAAAATTATTTCTTCAAGAATAATTCATCACCGACCAGAGCACTATAGAGCATTATTATTGTCGAACAGGAGAAAATCTTCATTTCCCCCAATGAGCTTTTTCACGGAATCCTATTTTCAGTGAAAATATTCTCATCTCCAACAATAATATTCCGAGACTTTCGCCATAGGTAAACACAACAGATCGATTGAAAAAACATCGTCTCAATATCAAAACCAACAACACCGAAGGGTCTGGATGTATAAGAAACATATTGACACTGTATAGTACGTGAGCTTTCATTCATGAGTGAACATTTCACAGATTGGTAGAAACATTAATTTTTCCTTAATTATAAAACAGGGCATTTGATTGTTTTCGAGTATAGGGAATGCTATCCCTGAAAGTCAAGCAGGTTTCCGAAAAGCACGAGGCTGCGCAGATAATATTTTTGTTTTGATGTCTGCTATTCACTTACAATTAAGATTAAGACAAAGAAGAGTATTTGCCATCTTTGTTGATTTCAGTAGAGCTTTCGACTCAGTGAACCATACTCTTCTATGGCAAAAGCTCTATGATATCGGTGTCAGTGTCAAAATAATACGAATATTGAAAAATATATACAATAATGCGACTTTTCAAGTGAAAGATAATTTTAATCGGTTAACCAAGCAATATCCGGTGGTGGAGGGAGTATTGCAGGGTGAATGTCTTAGTCCCTTGCTGTTCTCACTATTTACAGCCGACTTAGAAAATTTTTTCAGAGAAAACGGAGCAGTAGGAATCAACATCGATGGCAAGTTAGACATTAATATGCTCAGTTATGCGGATGACGTAGTTATATTGAGTACATCTGAGATAGAAGTAGCCCGTAAACTGAACATATTAGAGAAATATTGTGAAATAAACAAATTAAGTGTAAATGTGTCCAAAACTAAAATACTCTGTTTCTCGAGAGGCGGTTATAAATTGAGCAGACCATACCGTTTCTTATATAAAAATAAAGAAATCAATATGGTGAAAGACTATTTGTATTTAGGTGTGAAATTTAACTCTTCAGGCCTGTTCAGAGAAATGACAAACTATACCATTGCAAAAGTTGAGCAGTCTACTGGGGCTGTCATAGGTATAATGGCTCAAGCTAAGATAAACTCGTGGCCTGCACGTATCAAATTATTCGAAACCCTTGTGGAAAACTGCTTCACTTTTTGTTGCCCAATATGGTCCTTGCGATATTTAGATTTATTGGAGAAAGTGCAAACAAGGTTTTTCAAAAGACTTCTACTCCTTCCCAGAAACACACCGGATGTTCTTATTCGCGTTGAAACAGGTAGAGTGAAAGTTGCACTTGTTGTATTCAAATGCCTATTAAATTGGCTACAAAAGCTACTTATCATGGAAAGTAACCGTTGGCCTAAAATATGTTTTAATAGACTGAGTCAACTACAATCTGGAGACCTCCGATATAACTGGGTTGTTCAATGTAAAGCGATTTTTGCCGATATTGGGTCTATCGATATCTGGGAAAATATCAACTTACACTATCTGAAAACTAACTTCCAAAATTTAATTGTAAGATACTCAGACAAATTGCACTATGAAGATCTAGCTAGGATCACTCTCTCCAAGTACTCGCCAATTTTTAATTATTTGACAACCTCCAGAAACCCGCAGAGGTATTTAAGTTTAAAGTGTCCAATTAACCTGATCAGAACAATGACACAAACACGGCTCTGTTCTAAATTAAGCATTAGATATTATATCAAGGGGTATTACTATATTATTAAACAAGATGAAATTTGCACCTGTTGCAATATGCAGGTGCTAGAAACATTGGAACACATTTTTATTTCCTGTCCTATCTATGAATGTTTCCGACCACATGCACTCAAAACAATGAACAATCTGAACGATTTATGTACCTTCTTTGACTCCTTAGATTTACAGAGGGTAAAAATCATTTCCTCATATGTTAACAACATGCTTAGACTTAGGTCATTCATCTGGAATGAATAGTTTTTTTGTTTTTTTTCTTTTTTGTATGGGCTTATATTCACATTATGTTAGGTACCTTCATATTTATATTTAGCTAATGTATCTTTTTTTTTTTTCTCTGTTAAACATTGTACAAAAATTAGTAGGATTATACTATAACCATGCACTAGCAATTAGGAGAACACTACTATCATATTAAGTTACACTTATTATATTTTTTCTTCTGCCGCAAGCTAAACCCTTGCTATATGTATATATTTACATGGAAGCAATATAATATTTCTATTCTATTCTATTCTATTCTAAGTAACTTATTCTATGATTCAAATTTCCTTCATGTATGGTATCAGAGAAAAATAGCAGGTGCCAATTGAGAGAATTGAGTCTGCGGCAATTTTTCAATGAGACATTCGAAAATCGCCCACGCCCATGTGTTACAAAATGGAACCATTTGATACATCAGGAGTTGGCCTGGACTTCAAGGGGACTGTTTCGTAAACTCGACGGTCTAATTCCTAGATAACACATGTGTATCCACTGGATGTCTAGAATAGATGCCAATTTCAACAATAAATATATACTCATAAAGGCATCTTGGAGAATTTCTAGCAAAACTTAATGCTATATTGTTGTCATTTTTTGCTTTGTGTTTTGAATATGAATATATCTCAAATTGAATCAATTTTCAGTGATGAAGATACAATGTTCTATGACAATATTATATATTCATATAGGTTACCAGTTATGAAAACTTCATTGTGTGCATTATTGTGAAAGAAATAGTGATAGTGATCAAAACATTCATGTTCCTACACTTAGATTGAAGTATAATATGGTTCTTATCAAGTTCATGTGAAAATGAGATGAGTTTACTTTCATTTTAACCTCAGAAATAAGAATTAACACAATTTACATTGTGAACAACAATACCAAGATGAAGTTGAACAGCTAGCATCGAAATCTCGGAACCGAATTCTTATCTATTATACCGTTTCCGAATTCCCTACACTATTCCCAACCTCATTTTGGTTACAACTGATGTACTGCCTGATACACATATCCAATGGTTTGCTTTTGGACAAGAATTGGAGCAAAATTCAAAATCCATTGGATGACTAGTCCTATATTGGACGTCCAATGAATGGATGTATGGATGGTTCCAATTCATGTCTTTGAACATT